AGTGACTTTAGCTGATCTCTGGAGCACCAGATGGAGAGAGAACAATAGAATGAGGGAAGAAAAGAGAATTTTAGCAATTTTGTCATTCCCTGGGCAGCGCTTTTTACTTAGTTTTAATCAATTTTGGACCTGGCTCAGGAAGTAGGGAGGGGTGAGCAGAGAAAGCCACTCTGTGCTTGGCAGCAGATCCCCCGTTCCTGGGACCTTTGGGGAGGTGCCGGGGAGCCCCCTTGGGGCAGCCTTTGTCCCTAACTCCAGACCTGGAACCAGAGTCTTCCCTCCCTGAGGAGGACCCCCCAGTCTGAGCATTGGCAATTGTCCCCAACTGTACAGCTCAGGAAACCCCAAAGGGGCCAGTGTGGGGCCCTGGCATGGTCTGCCAGGGGCAGATAGGGCAGGTGGGGCCCTCCCTGTCCTATTGTCCACAAGCCTCATTTGCCTGGTGAGGAGAGGGGTGGGCTCACCACCATAGCCAGCCTCCCCCTCAACCTCGGAGCAATGGCACAGGGTTCCTCTATAGTCTCCCCTTGGGAAGGGGGTCCCAGGGAACAGGCCCAAGCCTGTGGCGGGTGGGGGTCACCCAGCCCAGGCGGTTCCCACCCCCGGGTTTGGGCCAGAAGCCCAGGAGCTGGCTGCGGGCCGGTTCTCCCCCACCCACTCTGGGGATGCCTCAGACCCGGGTTTCCGCCTTAGCCTCACCAGGCTCCAGTGAGCCTCTGTTTGGCCTGTAGTCAATTGACCGGTTGGACTTGGGGCAGGTGCTTGAGGAGCCCCGCTGAGGGAGGGCAGGTCTCTTGTGTGTACTGTCCAGCACATGCAGGAAGTTTGGCATTTCTGCCCACCCAGCAGCGCCTGGTCATTGTGGCAATCCCAAACCCCACACTTCCAGATGCTCTTGATCTGCACTGTCCATTGTGGTAGCCACGGGCCACGTGTGGCTGTTTACATTTAAATTAACTTATTAAGTAAAGAAAAATTTGGTTCCTCAGTTACAGTCGCCGCATTTCAAGTGCTTAGAAACCACTTGTGGCTAGTGGCTACTGCAATGGAAATGAGAACATTTCCATTGTCACAGAAAGTGCTAGATGATCTCCAAGCCCTTTCTGAAACCCAGTGTCGCTATCCTCAGTCCCAAACCAGAGCCTGAGAGCAGGTCTGGCCTGTAGGCAGAATGTTTGACCAAAGCAATGTTTTAAATGTTGGAAATTTTCACACGAAATTCTGTCTGGGCTTCTGGTTTCTTTCGAAAAGTTGGCAGATGAGCTGCCCTGGGCCCTCACTCACCCTGACCTAGGCAGGGCACAGGCATTCCGGCCACCACAGAACCTGCTTCCTCGTGCTCGCAGCACAGGCAGCAGTTAGGAGCACAGCCTGCACTGCCTTTTACATTTGAACCCTGGCTCTGTTGCCCGACGGCTGTGTGGCCTCAGGCAGGTCACCCACCCCCTCTGTGCCTGGCTTCCCTGTGGGATCAGGGCAGGGGTGGAGTGAACCAGGACCTGGTATGTGCTCTGTAGTTGGCTCTGCCTGGCCTCTGCAGACCAGAGTCTGTGACAGCCTGGAAGAGGCCCCAAGATGCATTTTCAGGGACCCTCATTTTGCCCCAAGGGTACTACCAGGTGCACCCAGGCCCAGTAGACCACAGTAGACCCTGACCCACCACTTTGCCAGGAGGTGGGGCTGGAGCCTTGGATGGAGGGCATAGCCAAGCAGCTCAGTCCCTTGGGGTCTGCCCTGGGTGTGCTCTGAGCTGAGCCACCAGACACAGGCAGACAAGGCCCTGTCTGTGAGAAGGCAGCACCCCCTGCTGGCATTGTGAAGGAAGTGACGCTCACCCCAGGGAGCCTCAGGTCCTTCCTCGGTGTCTAGTGTCCTGAGGGTAGAAGATCAAGCACCGTGGGCTACGTGGCCCCTCCCCTAGGCCTGGCGCTACTAGGGACTGAAGCCATGTGGTTCCTCTGCCCCCAGCTTTTCAGCCTGTGGGACCTTGGCTGGGGTATATAGATGGGAATTTCTGCTTTTAATCCAAAGAGACAGAAAGAAAACTCAGCAAGAAGCTGGGCCACCCCCACCCCATCCCTAAAACCCCTCTGGGTACAAAAGCCCCAGCCTGGCATCTTCCCCACCCTCCAGGACCCACACAAAAACCTAAACAATTGGAAACATGGCCAGATCTCAGGCCTGTGCCAGCGCCAGCCATGGGGGTCCCGCCCGCTGGGCACAGTGCCCACGGGAAGGCCAGCTGGACTCTAGCACTAGGGGCAGAGTCTCTGAGGGGGCAGGGTTCTCGCAGGAGGGAGGGAGAGAATGGGGATGCCCTTTCTTCTCCACGGGAACGAGGTGGGTGGTGGCTGCCTGGCACCCTGGCTCTTTGGGAGCTGGGCCCTTGAGGGGCCAGGTCACTGGGCCAGGTAGGAGTGAGATGGGACCTGCCACAGCTGTTCTCAGTGTCACCTCTTTTTCATCCTGTTTCAGTCCTGGTTCCTCTGATAAGATCGACAAAAGAAACAACAAAATGAAAAGAAGAGGTTCCTCGAAAGGGGGGAGAAGAAATTTTGAGACATGGAAAAATCCCCCAGCCCAGCCCAGCCCCACCGAAAAGCAAAAATTACACGTCGTCAGCCACTCAGCCCTTCTCTCCTCCAGCCCGGGGACCCCTGCGGGCCCCAGAAGCAGCCCAGTTCTCGGAGAGCCCTCGGAAGGGGTCTCGGTGGAGCTGTGCACCAGCAGCCAAGCAGAAAGAAACACGCGACATGGACTCTGTCAAGTAGAGGACAGAAAGCAAGAAAGGATGCAGAACTGCCTTCCTCCCCACCACCCCGCCCCGGCCTTCTGGGGAAGGAACAAAGTCCCCAAACAAAGCAACCAGCACAGTTCTGAAGGGGCCTGGCCTCCACCCTCACCCCTTCCTAGGGGAACCCCACCCTCCACATGGTCGGAGCTGTCCTAGGGAGCCTGGAGGACCAGCTTGTAAAGATGATGGGGTTTAGATCCCTCAGGCTCTGCCCTCCAGACTCCGCCCTTCCCTTCCTCCCTCCCTCCCTCCCTGCCAAGGCTCCAGCTTCTTCCCCCAGCTGTTCCAGACCAGGAGGGGGAGAGCAGCCTCCACTTACCCCTCCCCACCCTCGGGCTAAAAGCCTCCAGGCGGGCAGGGGGTGACCCCTGGAGCTAGTTGCGTGTCCCAGAATGGAGGGTGTTCTGTCACCCCACCCTGAGCCTCAAGAGCAGTTCCTGGGGCCCTGGACCCCTCTGTACAGTCCGTAGGAGAAAGTCGGAATGCTCTCGATGGCCTTGTCCTAGCCTGGGACAGGCCCCCTCTTCCTTCTCTCTGCAGGCCAGGAGGGCCTCCTTCCTGCCACGAGGGAGGGGAGTCGGGCCCCAGGTCGCCCCCACCCCCAGCCCTGCATGCAGGTGCCCTCGCTCCGCCCCATCAGTCCCTGCCCCTGCCCCTCACGCAGACTGCCCTGCTGGGGCCGGGCCGGAGGGTGGAGCAGAAAGGGGACCCCGGAGCCAAGCGAGGAGGACCAGGCAGCCGCCGCTGCCGCCGCTAAGTCACCACCTGCGCTTAGGTAGGCGTCCTGCTCGCCGACTTTCAGTTCCTTGGGAGGGTGTTGGGTGTCGTCCTTTTCAAAAGTGTTTTGGAGCTTTCTGTGCCCCCCACTTTCCCCCTGCCCCCCCGTGGCCACTTTTCTCTGGATTTTAGCTGTAATGTCTTTACTCTTTATTTAGGGGTGGGGCATTCATTGTTTGGGTCTTTTGCTGTTGGAATGGGAACTCCTCCATTTGAGCAACTTGGGAACAATTTGGTAACACACCACAGGAAGTAGCTCTCCCCCCCAGCCCCCTCTTCCCTCAAGGAGGGTTGGGGGGCCTGTCCAGAGGGTCTTCAGAAGCCCCCCTGGGAGGGAGGGGAGGATGAGCACGCCCAGCTCCCCTCCAGGGTGTGACTTGGCCCCTCTGGCTTGTCTTTCTGTGCCTTACTCCTTCCTCCTGCGTCTCCCATCCCTGGCCCCTTCTCGAGTCCTTGTGCCTCTCTCTCTTTCTCTCTTTCTTCATTGTATGAAAACACAAAGCACAGGTCAGGATCCTCTGAAAGAAAATCCAACATTGCACCACGTAGGGGTGGGTTATGGGCTGTATTTATTGTGAATCTAGTTTGTGAGGCTGTGGCCCTGAGCATGCGGAGGGAGGGAAGAGAGGAGGGAGTGTCTGGGGAGGGGAGGTCAGCGACCTGGGGCCGAAGGGGCAGGCAGGTGGTGCCTGCTGACCCCAGGGGCGGCTTTTGTTGGAAATTGAGTGAAGCCCTCCCCCTGTCCTCAGCGTGCAGCCCTAGAGGACCCCAGGGCTGAGGGGCAGTGGATCCTGCGGGAGTCTCCCGGGGCGTGGGGAGTAAGGCCCCGGGGGTGGGGGGCCGGGTGGGCCGGGCGTGACGCGCGGTCAAAGTGCAATGATTTTTCAGTTCGGTTGGCTAAACAGGGTCAGAGCTGAGAGCGAAGCAGAAGGGGCTCCCTGTCCGGCCGCACATGCCCTTTCCCTCGACGACAGTCGGGGCCTCAGGTGCTGTGTGACTGTGGGAGCCAGGGTCTGCGGGGCGCCTGCCCGGGCGAGGTCGGAAGCTGCAGGCCAGCTGGGCCCGGGCCGGAGCGTGCCCGGCGGGGCTGCCCGGGCGGGCAGGGGGTGGGGGCTGCTCCTTTCCCAAGTGGTGTTGTGAGGGGCAATGAGGGCAACAGATGTGGGGACGTGTTAGGAGAGAAAAAAAAAAAAAAAAAAAAAAAATATATATGGGGGAAATGAACTTTTTTTTTTTTCATTGAACCAAGTGCAATGCATCAGAGAGTTTTCCTATCTTTGTATGTTAAGAGATTAAGAAAAAAAAAAATTCTATTTTTGTTGTAATGTCCTCGCGGCTCTGGGGACGCTAAAAGAACCGGGCCTGCCCCGCCCTGTGCGGGGATAACGAAAGCTGAGTGTTTTTCCCTTTTTTTTCGTTCGTTTTTAGTTTTTTTTTTTTTTTTTCAAGTCGTTTTCCTGCGTTGACGAGGATGATCTGGGGTTTTTATTTGTTTCGTCGTTCGTTCTCAGTTTCGGTGGGAGGGCTGAAGGAAACGTTCACATTTTAGAGTTTAAAAAAAACACCTCGACATTTAAAAAATAACCAACACAAGATCAAAAAGGAAAAGGACGAGAGAAAAATTATTTTTAAGATAATTAAACATAAAACCCTGGTGCTTCTTACATTATAAAGTACGTTTTAAAGAACCCACAAACTATTATACATAAGTTTATGAATCAATTAAATATCCTGCACTTGTTAGGAATACGCATATCCCTTCTTTGTTGAGTTTAACGGAACGGGACAGCGGCGTGCCCCCGGCGGCTGGACTGCTCCGGTCGCGGGTCTCCCCGGGCGCCCCTCCCTGGGGCCCAGCACCCCCTCCTCGCCCCATCCCCGTCTGGGTACAGGGGCGCGGCAGGGGTCCCTGGCCCCTCCCCCGCAGAGGTCAATGCCAACGAACAAACGTCCCCTCCCTCCCTCCCTCTCTGCCCCGAGCGCCCTTCTTTGAGCCAGACGCCAACTTGACCCTCACCAGCATTATCAGGAGCGCGCTCAGCAAGTTGGTAGTTTCCTCCCCACTTTCCCGGCGCCCCTCCCGCCCCCATTCAACATCTCTCATCCTATCCCCGACCCCCTCCGGGGAACACCGGGAAGGCTCGACGCTCCAGGACAGGACCAGCCACGCTGACAGGTCGATTTGCCCAGGCCCGCGCCCGCACGCACGCACGCACACGGCCCCGCACACAGCCCCGCCCCACCCCGCAACCAGCCCTGTCGACTGCCTTACACACCCGCCCCCGCGCTGGCCGGCCGACCTAGTGCCTTGTTCTCACCCCCGTGCTGGCGGAGCGGACGCCGCGCTCTGGGTCCCAGAGGGGCCGGGTGGCTCAGACGACCCACCACTCCCCCACCCCGACCGTGCTGAACAGACCCCCCACACGAGAGAAAATAAAGGAGCAATAAAGTCACGAGAACTTTCGTCCCCCAATCGAGAGCCCGAGGGGCACCCCAGCCCCGCCTCTGCTTCCCCCCACCCCACCCACCCTCGGGGCGCCCCCCTCCCCCCGCAAGCCAGCCTGGGCCAGCCCCGCTTCGGCCCCTCCCGGGAGATCCGTGCGCCCGACCAGCACCAGCATCGCGGACCGCAAAGGCCGCCCGTCCCGTCAAACAAGTTTCTTCTTAGGCTAAGAAACGCAGTATATACGAGTATCTATATATAGTACTAATGGATTTGGTGTGCTTCCCCCTTAGCGTCCCCTTCCCTCTGCTCCTCCTCCTTCAGCCTGGTCTCCCCCTCTTCTCTGCCCTCCACCCCCCGTCTCTGCACTGAGATACATAAGAAACAAGGGTAGTTTACTGTCTGTTTTGTTTTCTGGGTTTTCAGTGTCCTAGCGGAATGCAAGTAGGCAGCCAGCCCGTCTGTTCCCTCTCCGCCCCGCCCCGCCCCGCCCCCGTCACTGCGCTTCTGTTATACCATCTTTGCCTGACTCTCTCCGGCTTCTCCATTGAATGGCTAATGTGTATGTGAAATAAAGAAATAAAGAAAAACAAACGCAGGAGCGCCTGACCCTTCGCTAACGCGACCGTGCGGGACTGGGTCGGGGTCGGTAGGGTGCGTCCCCAACTTGGATTCTGCGCCTCTCTCCAAGCGCCGCGAGCGCAGCAGACGCCGTCGACAAGCGTCTGTCCCTGGGTCTCCGGGAGGGGCCGACGGTGAGAAAAGCTAAGGCTCCCCAGCCCCTCCTGGCCTCCCCCCGCGAACCCAGCCCGGAAAAAATGAGGCACCACTTGGGTCCTGTGACTGCTCTGCCATGTTAGTTTGCCAACCGCGCCCCTGCGAAGGGGAACCAGGCAAGGCCACTTCCACAGGGCGGTGGGTGATTTTTTTTTTAAGAGTCTGCGGGTCCCTTGGGGGGCGATGATCACCCTTCCGGACCCCCGAGACCTTGCCCCTGACGTCTTCACTGGTCCTTCTTCGGGGGAGTTCGCACCCGAACACGCGCAGCACGTCCACTGCCCTTTCCTCGACGGCCCTGGGCCGAGTCCCTGGTGCCCTCCGGCTCAGAAATGCTGGCGCGTGCGGTCACCGCACCTCTGGGCTCAAAGCGGTTTGCTCCATCTTTATTGGCCGGGCCGCCGCACCGGGGCTGCCGTCGGGGTCGGCCGGGGGCGCGGGCTGCGAGCGCGCTGCCACTTCGGCCCTGCGTCCGGATCCCCGGCGGGCGTCGTCGTCTGGGACCCGGTGCACCGGCCGTTTGCGGGGCCCGGGCGGGGTGGGGCCTGCGGCCAGAGCTGCCGCTTGGTCGCGCAGCAGCCGCACCAGGAAGCCAATGTACTTCATGGCTAGGCGGAGCACCTCGTTCTTGCTCAGCTTCCGGTCGGGCGGGTGCGTCGGCAGCAGCTTCCTCAGCTCGGCGAAGGCGCCGTTAACGTTCTGCTGCCGCCAGCGCTCCCGGCTGTTGGTGAACACGCGCCGGGCCACCTTCTGGGGCTGGTGCCCTGTGGACAAGGAAGGCCGGGTTGGCGCCATGGCCCAAAGGGCAGCCTCTCCTGCCCTCCCGCTAGGCACGCAGCACCCTCCTGAGAACTTAAACCCAGGCCATGGGCTGGGACTTTCTCCACCCAAGGGGTCCACGGGTAGCTCTCCCCACCCCTCCCAGAAGCCACCCAGACAAGAATCATCACAGGCCCGGCCTGCGGACAATGGCCTGCTGTGTCTGTGACTATGGGCTCCTTTATGTCAATGACTGAGATTCCCTAAGGAAAGATTTCCTGGTGGTTGTTTAGGAAGCTGTCCCTGGGGACCTCATTCAGAGTGTGCCCAAGTGTGGCTGGCTGGGTGTGCTCGTGGGTCTGAGAGGTCCTCTCATTATGACTGACTGTCCTGTGTCTCATAGGCTGTGTGAGACTCTTATGTCTCATGGCTGTGGTTATGTGTGATGTTGCCATGTGGCTGTTTCATGAGTGGCTGTGGTTGTGTGGCTGATTCTTGTGTGGCCATGGTCCTAAGTGGCTGTGGTCCTGTGGCTGTCTTGTGTGTGGTTGTGGTCCTGTGGCTGTCTCTTGCATGGCTGTGGTCTTGTGGCTGTCTTTTGCGTGGCTGCACATTCTAGTGGAGCTGTCATTTTGTGGCTCCCATACCTGGTACGGCATGCTCTGTTTTGCCATGACTGCGGCTACAAGGCCTGGCCTGTTGCGTGGCGGTGGTTGTGTGGGGCTGGCTATGGGACTGCGGTTGTGCACATGGGTAGAACCCGTGTGGGCTGTTCTCTGTGTGTGCTGGAAGCACTTCTCCCCAAGGTGGGAGTAGAGGACAGACATGAGCCCCACATAGAGACGGCCCGGCCTTCCGTGCACCCACAAGTGCACACACAGGCACGCAAACCCACATGGCACACAAACCCACACTCACCCTCAGCCAGGTCCAGCTCACAGTGGCTTGGTCTCCGCTTCAGCCGGCTGCTAGGGAAGACGCTAAAAGGTCCTGCTGGCCCAATGTAGACACTGTAAGGGGTCGTGGGTCACTAATGCCTTGTGGGCAAGGACCCTGGCCCCCAATCCCCACCCCACCCCGCCCCAGCTCCCCACTGACCTGTTGAGGAAGGGGTGAGGGTGGTAGTGCAGGGCCAAAGTGGGTGGGGCAGTTCCCAGGGTGGAGAGTTGCAGCAGCGGGGGCCGCAGGGTGCCCAGCTCTGTGGTGGGCATGGCTGCCCCTGGGGGCCTGCTGTGGCCCAGGCTGATCACTGGTACACCAGGTGGCAGCCTGGGGGGCGAGGAGCCTCCTCGGTGGCCCACCTCCTCCACCTGCGGGGGCCCAGGTGAGGCAGGCTTAGGGGGTGGGGCAGGCGCTGGGCTGGGGGCACACACCATCTCTGCCTTCTCAGTCATGGTGGGGCCCACCTCTGCCTGTGCCTGAGGCGGGCACATGGACCCCGACGTGGGGGTACTCACCTGTGGGAAAGAAGGCAGCCAGTGGGAAGGAGGACTAGGTGCCCCGCTCCCACCTTCTTAGCCCAAAAAACCCCTCAAATGGGAAGAGGCGGGGAAAGGAGGAGGGGAGGGGTTTCAGTAGGCAAAGGCAGATGGCAGGGGCAGGCCCAGAAACTTCCAGGACATGGGAGGGGTCCTGCATTAGAGTAGGAGGCGCCCACCTAGGTGCTAGGCAGTGCACTGTCCCTGCACTCTTTGTGACCCAGGAGGGGCGCTGTTGCCCCGCCTCTGAGCAAATATTCCTTCTGCCAGAATTCCCTCACCTCTGCAGCCTGGAGGGAACAAGACAGGGAGCCCCTAACTGATCCTGGGATCTCCAGAAACCCCAAGATTAACCCTGTTACCCTCAGATCTAAAGATCCGATCCAGAGACTCCTCATTGACTCATTGATGCCATGTGAGCTTGGAATCCCTCCAAGATGGACTCTGACCCTTCACAGATGCCCCCCACCCCCCACCCAGGCTGACCCTCTGCACCTCAGGAATGACCCTGTAGTTCTTCCCATTGCTGTCCCTGAAAGGGCTCTGTAATTGCTCTAGTGACCCCCACTCCTACTGCAAACGTCCCCCATAGCAACCCTGTGACCCCACTACTGACACTATGACCTCCAATGCTGACCCTAGACCCCCAAACACTGACCCCACTGCCCAGTCCAGTCATGTCCCAACCCTCCCTCTGGCTTGGAAGCCCCCACCCTCATCAGCATCCACACTTTTTAAAATTTGTTTATTTTTTAGATACAGGGTCTCCCTCTGTTGCCCAGGCTGGAGTGCAGTAGTGCAATCATAGCTCACTGCAGCCTCAAATTCCTGGGCTCAAGCCATCCTCCTGTCTCGGCCTCCTGAGTAGCTGAGAGTACAGGCATGTGCCACCATGCCCAGCTAAATTTAAAAAAAAAATTAATTTTTCAATAGAGACAGGTTCTCACTCTGTTGTCTAGGGTGGTCTGGAACTCCTGGGCTCAAGTGATCCGCCTCAGTCTCCCAAAGTGCTGGGATTACAGGCATGCACCACCATGCCCCTCCATCATCCACACTTTTGCATACTGTTTTGACATCCCTGTTTGCTCTTGGTTCCAGAGTCCAGGATGTCCTAGCAAGGTGTGAGACTCTTGGCCCCTCTGCCCTGTCTTCCTCAGCTAGGCCCTGGGGAAGCAGGCCTGGCCCCTCACAAGTAGGTCCCTGCTGATGGATGGATGGATGGATGGATGGATGGATGGATGAATGAATGAATGAATGAATGAATGAATGAACGAACAAAGGAATGCAGGCTGGGTCCCAGGCCTGGGATCCTCCACCTTTAGGCCGTTTCCCTTCTTACCCCAGCACTGTTCCTGCAGCCTGGTGAGTGCCCTGGCTCTGTCCCGTCAGGGTTGGCAGTCTGGGCCAGGGTGTGGTTTCCAGCGTCAGGCCAGGCTCTGCTGTCTCGCTCGGGTCCGGCCTCAATGCTCCAGGCCCCGGCGCTGGGCCGCGCCTCCTCGTGGGCCTTGGAGGGCCAGGATAGCCGAGGTCTCCGCTTAGGTCTCCTCCAGGGAAAGTGAGCGGCTCCTGGGCCGGCCTTCCCTCTCCCCGCCCCCGGCGGCCCGGTTTCCTCCCTCTCACCCCTGGCGGCGCAGCGGCCGGAGGATGCTGGCCCAGGGCAGATAAGGGCCGGGCTGCCTGGCCGCGCCTGATAAGGAGCCGGGCTGACCCCGGAGGAAACCAGCGGGCGGGGACCTAGCAGCGCGGGCCTCCCGGCCCCGCCCCCAGCCGGCGCTGGCAGGACTCGGTCCGCCACCCCTCAGGGCTTCGCCTTCCGCTCCCCCAGGCACTGGAGGGACTCCGGGCCTCTGGGGACCCGGGCCCGAGGGCAGCCGGGGAGGAAGGTGCCTGGATGCACACAGGGGGTAAACTGAGGCAGGGAAGCTGCCTCCTCTTATGTCCTCTGAGTCTGCCCTTTGGCTTTGAACACTCCCTGCCCGAATGTCAATGCTGATGGGGGTGAGGGAGAGCCCTTTCCGGCCCGTTGGGGCCGCGTGACCCTGGGCCCCCACCTTCTCCTCTCTTCACCCAGCTTGGTTCCTCTTTTTACAGAGGCCCTTCCCGCCTCTCCACCACCCCTACCCAGGAGTGGGGCACCCAAAGGGAAACAGTTCTAACAGTCTGGCCTTGGGTGTCCAGCCTGGGCAGGTGTCCCAAGCCCTCAGCACAGTATCCACATATTTCCAAGCCCAGGAGGGTGAGAGGAAGTGCCATGGCTGTCGGGGGTGGGGTGGGAAGTTGGATTTCCTAGGGTGCCGAGGCTGGTGTGACCTTCCAGTAGATGCCCAACAGGTCCCCACAGTTCTAGGCCTCTTGGCTACAGCATCACATAACTCCAACTTGGTGGTCCGTGGCCCTCACCCCACAGCACCCGACCCCTTCATGGGGGGCAGGTATCCTGGCTTGGTGGTAAACCTCAAGACCCCACTGGAGCTTCCCACAGGGAGAGGCTCTGGGCACAGCCAGGCCGCAGCAGCTACAGGACTGCCGCCCACTTGTGATACTCATGCTTTGGCCCATGTGTGTGTCTGGGCAACTGCAAGAGCCCCCAGGCAGGCACCCAGCACCAGGACTACTACCACCCCCCCCAGGAATGGGGCGGAGCACAGGACCTCACGATCAACACCTCCATTGCTTTCCTCCAAAGAAGCAGGAACTAAAGTTTTATGCAATAAAGGCCAGGCGTGGTGGCTCATGCCTGTCATCCCAGCACTTTGGGAGGCTGAGACTGGCGGATTGCTTGGGCTCATGAGTTTGAGACCAGCCTGGAAAACATGGCGAAACCCCATCTCTACAACAAATACAAAAATTAGCTGGTTGTGGTGGTGTGTGCCTGTAGTCCCTGCTACTCTGGAGGCTGAGGTGGGAGCATGGCCTGAGCCTGGGAGGTGGAGGTTGCAGTGAGCCAATATTGCACCACTGCACTCCAGCCTGGGCCATCCATACATCTAGACCTTGCCTCAAAAAAAAAAAAAAAAAAAAAAAGTTTAAGCACTGAAACTAACTCTGATATTCCTACAAAGAGGGTCCTAAGATTAGCCTCATTACATATGGGGATGAAGGGCACAGGAGCCAGAGAGGGGATCCTGCCCCAGAACTCTTCCTTAACGTTACTAAAGCCCGCTCTGGAGGGCAGGGAGGGGTACAGCTCCCCCTCACTGGGTGTCTGGGCAGCAGCCTGCGAGGTCCCTCTTTGTGTGCACGCCCCCTCGGGCCTCAGGGCAGGAAGCACCTGGTCTGGAGCGGATGCACAGGGCGCCTGGTTCCGGTCCAGCTTCCGCCACTGCGGCCCCTGGAGAGCTGGGCCAAAGAAACCAGGCGGCGAGGAGGCAGCAGCGCGAGGACACGTGGGGGTTACCGGGCTGGAGCGCCCCCCTATGCGCAAGCCCGCGGCCTGGAGCGCGCTGAAGGTGGGAGGGGGAAGAGGCACAGAACCCCCCGCGGGAGCCAGCGCACAGCTGCCGCACCGTGGCCACTTCGGGAACCGCAGGCTCCGACTCTGGGGTGGCTCAGTGACCCTCGCTGCAGAGGGGCCGACCACTGTGCAGATGGTCAGCTCCTACCTCCCATACAGGCTCAACACTCCAGTCAGGCAGGGGCGAACGACCCCCAGAGGAAGACAGGAACAGATCCCAGTCATGCAGCTGTATGGACCAATACACAAATCACAGGCAATCGGGAGAAGGTGACGTGACATCTCTTTATTGGTTCAGTCTATGCCTGGCCTAGCGGCATCCCCAGGTCCATGGGGGCTCTGGTTGGAGGTCTCTGGACAGTCAGGGACAGCATCAGCAGAAACCCTGGGTGTCGGGGGGCTGTGGGAGTAGCAGCACTGGTCCCCGCGTTGACAGGTGCCCTGGTGGGAAGATGGTGGGTGTGAACCCCTGCCCCGAGCTCAGCAGCCCCTGATGGGTTCCTTTCCTGGAATGGGAAGCCCACTCCCAAGCACTTGCCTGGCTCCAGCTCCCCCAGTTCTCTCCCTGTTGCCCAAAGGGGAGACTCACATGTCCTGTCGTGGGAGAAAGGGAGGAGAGACCTTACCTCCTTAAACCTCTTGCAAGGAAATGTCTTGAGCCGGGCAGCCCGCTGGGCCGCATCTTCCGGCGGCTCCTTCCGCTTGTTCTGAAGCAGCCTGCGTCTCTCCTCCATAGCTTCGTCGGCCACCTTGCCCCTGTGCGAGGGGAGGAGTAGGTGGGACCTCATCTGCCCTTTACCTCTGCTTTCCCTGGCTGAGCCCCACCCCAACTCTACCACCACTCACCCTGGCCGGGCACGAGGCCGGGGACCCCAGTTGGCCTCCGGGTTGGCCTGGAAGCGCTTGAGTCCTCGCTGGCGGGAGCTGGGGTTGGCATCTTCCCGGATGGTGAAGTTGGCCTGCAGCCTAGGGAAGCAGGGGTGGGGCGTCAGGGCTGGGGGCAGCTGCCACACGAGTGTGTCCCAACTCCCCACAGGGCCTGTCCGCCTCCACCACACAGCACGAGGTGTCTGCTCATGTCAGGATTCTCTCATTCATCTAATAAACATTTTTGGGTTTTTTTTTTAAAGAGATAGGGTCTCCGCCAGGCACAGTGGCTCATGCCTGTAATCCCAGCACTTTGGGAGGCCAAGGCGGGTGGATCACCTGAGGTCAGGAGTTGGAAACCAGCCTGGCCAACATGGTGAAACCCCATCTCCACCAAAAATACAAAAATTAGCTGGGCGTGGTGCCGGGTGCCTGTGATACCAGCGACTTGGGACGCTGAGGCAGGAGAATCACTTGAACCTGGGAGGCGGAGGTTGCAGTGAGCTGAAATCATTATCACTGCACTCCAGCCTGGGCAAGAGAGTGAGCCTCCGTCTAAAAAAAAATAATGAAATAAAGATACACGGTCTCACTCTGCTGCCCAGGCTGTAGTGCAGTGGTGTGATCGCCATCAAAGCTGCAGTCTGAAACTCCTGGGCTCAAGCAATCCTCCTGCCTCCTCCTCAAGCTCCTGAGTAGCTGGGACAGCAGGCAGGTACCACCATGCCCAGCTAATTTTTTGTTTTTTTGTAGAGATGGAGTCTTACTGTGTTGCCCAGGCTGATTTCAAATTCCTGGGCTCAAGCGATCTTCCCGCCTTGGCCCCTAAAGCACTGGGGTTACAGGAATGAGCCACCACGCCTGGCCCTAATAAACATTTTTATTTAACGACTGTGTGCCTGCATTGTTCTCAGGGCTGGGAATAGACAGTGAACAAAATGGACAAAAAGCTACCCCTGGTATGCTGATAATGCTAATTTTCTTTTCCCTTTTTTTTTTTTTTTTTTGAGACGGAGAATGCAGTGGTGCAATCTCGGCTCACTACAAACTCTGCTTCAGGTTCAAGCGATTCACCTGCCTCAGCCTCCCGAATAGCTGGGACTACAGGCATGTGCCACCACGCCTAATTTTTTTTTTTTTTTTTTTTTTTTTGAGACGGAGTCTTGCTCTGTCGCCCAGGCTGGAGTGCAGTGGTGCGATCTTGGCTCACTGCAAGCTCCGCCCCCTGGGTTCACGCCATTCTCCTGCCTCAGCCACCGGAGTAGCTGGGACTACAGGCGCCCGCCACCACACCTGGCTAATTTCTTGTATTTTTAGTAGAGATGGGGTTTCACCATGTTAGCCAGGATGGTCTCGATCTCCTGACCTTGTGATCCGCCTGCCTCGGCCTCCCAAAGTGCTGGGATTACAGGCGCAAGCCACTGCGCCCGGCCCAAAGTGCTGGGACTACAGGCGCAAGCCACTGCGCCCGGCTATTTTCTGATTCTTTTTGAGATGGGAGTCTCGCTCTGTCGCTCAAGCTGGAGTGCAATGGCGTGATCTAGACTCGCTGCAACCTCTGCCTCCCAGGTTCAAGTGATTCTCCTGTCTCAGCCTCCCGAGTAGCTGGGATTACAGGCACCCGCCACCACACCACGCCTAGCTAATTTTTGTATTTTTAGTAGAGATGGGGTTTCACCATGTTGGCCAGGCTGGTCTTGAACTCCTGACCTCAGGTGCCTCAGCCTCCCAAAGTCATGGGATTACAGGCGTGAGCCACCTACCCAGCCCCAGTCAGCAGATTTTGAATCTCACTTGAAGAATGGGCACGAGTCAACACAGATGGGGCAGCATGTGTGTTGTCCGCACACACGTGTGCTTCCCATGCCTATGGGCAGCCCTGGCCCCTCCTGCATGTGCTTGCCCCTACCTGGGTTCCACACTGAGAATGCGGAACGCTGGGCTGGTCTCTGATAGTCGTTCCCGTTTCACCGGACATTCCTTCTCCTGGGGGCAGAGGTCAGAGGTTAGGGAGTACTAGGCCCAAGGGACCTCCAGGTGACCACCACCTGCCCTCCCACCTGCATGAGGTCAGCCCTGCCCTCACCCAGCAACGCATGATGTCCCAGAGGGCGGAGGCAGGGGCATCTGTCTTCACAGCGTTCTTACAGGCGTGGGAGAGCGAGACCCGGAAGTCAGCGTGGAGGAGGGCCGACCTGGGGGACAGCAGGGATCATGAGGGAGAGGCCGGACCCCTTGACCCCAAAGCCTGAGCTGACCAGTGTGGGTCAGACTACCTTCGGCAAGGGCTCATGGCTACAGAATTCATTTCTTTTCTTTCTTTTTCCTTTTTGAGATGGAGTCTTGCTCTGTCGCTCAGGCTGGAGTGCGATGGCGCAATCTTGGCTCACTGCAGCCTCCGCCTCCTGGGTTTAAGTGATTCTCCTGCCTCAGCCTCCCGAGTAGCTGGGACTATAGGCACGTGCCACCACGCCCAGCTAATTTTTGTGTTTTTAGTATAGACAAGGTTTCACCATGTTGGCCAGGATGGTCTTGATCTCTTGACCTTGTGATCCGCCTGCCTCGGCCTCCCAAAGTGCTGGGATTACAGGCGTGAGCCACCACGTCCGGCCTTCTTTTTCTTTACTTTTTTTTTTTTTGGAGGTGGAGTCTCACTCTGTCGCTCAGGCTGGAGTGCAATGGCGCAATCTTGGCTCACTGCAGCCTCTGCCTCTCAGGTTCAAG